CAGTTCGGTTTCCATTTCCCTTTTGGCCAAACAAAAATTTCAGCTAACCGATTTTTCTGTCGGTTCAGTTCATTCTCGACCGATTGACCCCAAGATACAAGGCATTTTCCTTTGATAGAAAGAAGTCAAAACCATATTCATGCCACAACAGAACTGATGACCTAGCAAACCACAAGACACCAATCAACAAGCTTCTCCTCAAGACAAGTGCTTTTCAGATAGTCTCTAACAGATACAACAACGATAATGTAACTTTACAAACAACATGCTAAAAGCAAATCCCTAGCACACAACAAAGACCAAGAACTTCTATCCGTGTCAATGTCCGCATAGCGCCTCATTTAATCCAATGCCATTCTCATCCTCGGTTTAGAGATTCAGTGATTCCTTCAATGATTTATCAGTTAGAGCTCACCTTAAATGCTGCCAACTTCCGGGGCTAAGCCATTGGTAATACCTTGTACAGAGTTCAAAAGCCGCATTCCTTCTTCCCCCATCTGTTGAACCTCAGATGGTGATAAAATTCGGATGCATTTCACACACCCCACAAATTCCCTTCACAAAAAACTCACGTTAGCACGAAAAACTCAGCACTCGCAAAAAAACACTAGTGTGACTTGTAATGCATGTACTTGTAGTGTGACTTGTAATGCATGTGCTCATTTTGTTGTTATATTGAGGCCTATAACAAAATTTGCATATATTGGGTAATTTAACTGCACAATGGACTACTTACTCCCAAGGATCATCACCGACAAGAAGAACATCATTCTCGAAATCCACGTACACAAGCTTCCATCCGGAACTCAAGTCATTGAGAAGGCCCTCCAGACCAAACATACGCTCGATTTCAGATCTCAGCTCGTCGTAATTTCCAAAGCTCGAGACATCAATCGACCTCCCAACAGATCCAGCCTTTTGAATCTGTCGAACAACAAATAAATTAAAAAAAAACAATACCTCCCAAGTTTCACAATGACAAAATATTCTATCTTCTAAAGTAACAAATGGAATATTTTAATTAGACAAAATATCATCAAGAATAGTTTAATTTGTCCAGAAAAGCAAGAGATATAATAACAACCTTAGTGTACGTTCGGAACCTTGGGGCCACGGGCTTCCACGAGCCATGCTGCAAAATAGTAGCATTATCCTCGAAATCTACGTTACTCGAGGATGCCCCACCCGAGTTGTCTGCATACTCGTGTATCGAGAAATTCTGGGAATCTGCCAGGCTGGCAGTCGTGATCTGGGACTGCACGTCCTGGTTCGAGCAAAGATTCCCCACGAGATAGTCAGACGGGTTCTGAAAATCGACACCCTTAAAATTGCAAAAATCCTCGAAAACCAATGGGTCGATCACCGTGCTCCCGCTGTTGTTGCTCCCGTCGAGATTCAGACAGCCGCCGAAAATAATGTCCCCACTCTGGTTATTATTATTGTTCACGATCGGCAGCTCCTTCAGATCGCACGAGTTGTACTGGAAGTTGTTGAAAATGTCCTGATTCCCACTGTTGAAATGCGGGTCCCACGGTTCTTGGCCTATCACAGTTACACCTGGCAGTGTGGGCGGCTGGTCGGGTTTACTAATAATAAATTCGACCCGCCCCTCCTCAAGCAGCTCGTTCGTGTCTGCGGGCCCCAACTGGGCTGGCTCGATTTCTTGGGCCTGAATGACGTCACATGCATTGTTTTGTCCCAAGGCAGAAATTTCGGGCTTTCCGTATGATTTTTCGTCGCACGGGCCGAGGTTGGCAGGCATTCCGGGTAGTAATACTATGCCCATATTTGCGAAATTACTGTTCTCTCGCTGAAAAAACGTGCTTGGTGGAGTGTAGAGTTCTTGTGGTGGTAAAGCACCAATTTTGGGCTCATTTTGCATGGGAGGATTCATGAGCATTCTCACCAGCTGGTCAGACCACAGGCTCGTTGATATAGAGGGGCAGTGGATATTATCTTGAGGGGTATTTTCGGGAATTCGGAGGAAAGGGGGTCGGTTAATCAAAGTCTCCCACTCTGTTTGCCCTCCTGAGATAATAACACAAAACATATCATCAATATAAAACATATGTGCATGCATTAAGGGAAAAAAAAATATGTCGTTTGAAGTTACCAATGAAAGCCGAGTGGAAAGGACGTTTGAGATTGGCAGTTAGAGATGGGAAAATGAAAATGCTTTCCGGAGTCTCGATTTCCCACGGGCTGACCCTGTTTCGCCTGTCACCACACCCAGGCTCGTCCCATTCCACCTGTCGTTAAGGAAAAAAAAAAATGAATTTTGTAAAAATAAATTTGCTTCAAAAAAACGTGTACGAATGGAAATTCGAGCATGGTCAAAAGTTCATAGCAGATTTCATATCTTTAATAAATAGGACTCTAGTATTCTCATATGCTTAGCAGAATTCACTTGAAAAATCAAATGGAAATTCTTTTTCCTCTTATTCAAATTATTCTTAAGATAATTATTTTACACAGTACAATTGTGCTCAAGTCATCATGCAGGACTACCTGAAGACTACGCCACTTCGAATTAGGCCATCTCAGTGGATCTAAGTCGCTTATGCCCGTGATTGTCCCCATATACCTGTACAATGCAAGGGACACAATGACTGAATAACAGAAAACTGAAAAAGGTAAAAAAATCAATTAACAAGCTAAATCAAATAAAACTAAATTCATTAAACCTTTATAAATATGATTTTTTTTTACCTCCTTTTAGTGGATTCTTCGGTTTCAAACATCATACCGAATCTCATACCGATTGAGAGCTGTGTGCTATAAACAGCTTTTTGATATTTGGCAAACGGAACAACAAAGTCTGAGGGACATGCCCTGTAAAACACAATAATTATGATTACAGTAGTGGGTAAACAAAGTTAAAAAATGTCGAAAAAAGGCTTTTGCTTGTTTGTGTATCAAAAGCGTATATACATATTTCGAGCTCATCATTTATAGTACAAATGACTACAAGAAGCTGACATTTTGAAAACAATGAAAAGCCAATATATTTCCATTTTCTGCCAGAAGCTGAGAACCGCTTATTGTAAGTGTTTCGGGTTCGTGTTTATGAACATATCTTGAAAATACCTTGGATTGTAAAAGATCGTAAATGGGCTTCGACTAGAAGCAGCATGAGCAGCCGCAGCAAGAATTCCTATGTGCATGCTATCGGCAGACAGAACTGAAGATGGCAAAGTTGTTTGCTGGCGGTTAACTCGTCTAACTCCCAACAGAAGTTGTGATTTTTCATCCCTGCAATGGTTTAAAAAAAAAAAAAAAAAGGATGACAAAAAGTTCATATATTTATAAACGAGCACCGAAAATCTCGTTTTGTTTCATGAAATTTAAATATATAGTGGTCTGATACAGGACACTGTCAAAGAAAGCACAGTTGAGACACGGAATGGAGTAAAACTGAATTTTTTTTTTAACATCTGACAAAATGAAGAGAAAAACTGATGAAAAAATGAAAATTGGTAATAAAATAATTAAGATGTGAAAGAGTTACCTAATAAAAAGAACCGAGTCGCCAGCTCTAAGCCGCTTCGAGCCGACAAACATACTCCAACCCGTTGTGAGCAGGTGCCGCTTGGGCTGCCCTAAATAACGATGAAAAATTTGACAACCAAACTTAAATACACGTAAAATTGTGCAGGCAAACATATGTGATAGCAAAGATAAATGAAAACATCAATGCATGTTTACCTCTGTATATATGCCGAAAAGTCCAAGTGTTATCATGCAAATCTCGGACAATGAGTTCTTGAGTAGGAGGTTGCATAGAGTAGTCCTATATAGTCATTACAAGCATTTAACAAAACACAGTAATAACTTGATGTTAGAAAATAACAACAGAATATAATACAGATATGCGCTATGTAAATAAGTGTTAAAATAACCGTACTAATTGTGGGAAGAGCTTTTCTGCAGCCCTTCTAGGAACTGAGAATCCTCCATGTGTACTCGTGTCGCTTGCTGTCAACGTTTTACAGAAAAACTCGGTTGGGTGTTTACTGGGCTTCAGTCCCAAGTCAGGTACAGAGATCATGTCTTTTTCCTGAAAAGAGAAAAAAAAAACAATAAATTAACTAAAATAATCCTGTAGCCATATCTTCAAAAGCTTCTTCATGTCCATATGACCGATAACTAAGTTCTTTAGCATACCATGTTGTGGACTTACCGAATTCACAGGCTGGAGGCTCATTTGAGCATAGATCTCATCTGTCTCTTTGTCCGCCTATGCATCGGAAGACGGTTTAAAATCATTAAACAAGCTGGAACAACTTACTCGTGACAATATACGAACATTCTGCTTAAAAATTAAATTATATAAACATATGTACAATATTGTTGGGAAGAGACATACATGAAGCGTAACATTATGAACTTGGCACAGCAACTGAGGGGAGAGATTCGGATAGTTTGGTATTTGAGCAGTTGCAGTTCGATTAGTGGAAACCGCAACCTATTCCAAACAAACGAGGAGCGCATTAGCTCGTGATATATTTCCACGCACAGTAAGCATGAAGGCAGAGTGCATTCTTTCTTGCATATCCAGCAAAAGGAAATTAAAAAAAGTTAATGGGAAGTACTTAATTCATTCATTCTTCACATTCTCTCAGAGTATTTCCATCAATCAATTTCACAACATTTCAGTCAGAATGACTCCTCACAGCTTCAAAATTTCAACTAGTGAAAAACAAATGGACTGATAACTAGAATGTAAACAGCATTTGTCTAACACGATTCAGGACCCGCATTGTCGAGTATGTAAAAACGCCATATGCAAAAACTTAACAAAAACCTCTCCTCAGAGCACATAAACCGGTACTTCTGGAAACTAATTTAATGTTGAAAATCCAGTCCCTTATTTTTCAAAACTCTTCTTTTCCCTCCCCCGACTCCGAACAACAATACATGAACCAAATCAGTTCAAACAAACAAACAAACAAACCTGTTCACTATGTCCTTGTGGAAAATAGTAGACAAGGCCTCCAACCTGAGGCAAGCTAACAAGTGGCCCAGCACAAGCATGCCACAGCTCGGAATTTATTTGCTTCCTTATGCCTGATCACACAAATCAGTTCAAAATTCAACTAAATTATAATTTCAAATGATTTTTTTTTTATGATCTGCACTGCAATCTCATTGATATCAACAAACAAGAAAACGGAGACAAACTGAAACTAACCAGTGTGGTCATTCATTTCCTTCAATAATTTGATCCCTTCAAGAACATTATGACCACCACTGACAAAACCTCCTGGTTTGAGCTTTTCCTCAACAGAAGCCATGTATAATCAAAATCCCCTCCAACACTACTCATTAATGTGCTTCAATCTCAAAACATCCTTAAAGCTAAAGATCCCATTTTTATTTTTATTTTTTTTTTTTCTCAAGAACTAAGTTGAAAATCAACCATCAAGCTCCCCAACTTACTTATATTCCACAATAACCAAAAGCCCACTTCAAAAAAAATTAAAAAAAAAGGGCCAATCTACTGTTCACCCAGCATCAGCAGCACCACCATAAGTGGCCCCCTTAAAGAAAAATCACTCTCCCAAAGTATTATTTTCTACAAGGAACAGAAGAATAAAGCCAAGCAAGCAGGACAGTACAGTTCTAATCAATTTCAGAGTATCATCATCTATTACTATATGAGAGGAACCAATCAAGGAGGGCGTGCCCTAAAGATCCAAAACCAAGGAACAAAAACACACTCTGCCAAGAAAAAAGAAAGTGTAAAAGGCAAAAGGATTTGTGTGTGTGGGGCTAACAACAACAACAACAACAACAACAACAACACCAACAACAACAAACTATTCAACAGTAACAGTGGCACAAGTTAAAAAAAAGATAGAAAATTTAGAAGAGGGGTCAGTTTATTTTCCATCAAAGCACGCGGACCAAAGCATGGGTGGCCGGATTATCGAGTGTTTTTTCTCCCCACACCCCTCTTAAATTGACCTTTCAATGGAGAAGAGAGAGAACAAAAAGGGAAAAGAAAAGCAAAAGCCCTTTGAGAAAACAAAAAAAATCAACACAACTCCCACTAAAAAGATCAAATTTTTTTTTGTTTTCCCTTTCTCTTTCTTTACATTATTGTATCTTTCACTGTTCTTTCTCTGTACTTGTGTTTGTATTTTTTTTGAAATATTTAATGGGAGGGCCTGAGAAGAAACTGGGGAAGAGTGTGCTGTGCATGCTCCTCCTTTAACCTGCGCACTCACTTGCGGAAAACAAGTCGATTCAGTTGCAGCTTTTTTGAGCTGAGAAAATTTGTTAGCTCAAGAAAATGAATAAAGAAGAAAAGAAATGTATAGTACATAGGCATAAAAAACAGGCCGAGCAGTGCTTTTCCCACACGAAACCAGACTTCGCTCATGCTTAGCATAGAATATATCATATATGAGTCAGATTTTCAATAAATGTCACGTAGCTTTGTCCCGATTAATCCGTTGGTCGATCTGAATCGCACATCTAATAATGTTGGGTGAGTCTCCCAACAAGGATTTTCTGCATTCACAAATAATCAAAATCGAGACCTTGCTTAAGAGACATCAAACTGCTTACCACTGAAGTCAACCAGTGTTCGTAATATAAATAAAATAATTTACACATATGTCATAAGTCATTTTTTTTAATAAATGAATTGGCTCGACTTTTCATATTTAAATAAATGAACGAGTTGAATTTGAGTTTTCTTAAGTTAGAATTGAGTGGTTCGATCAAACAACTCGATTTAAATGACTACTTTACATAAATAAACGAGTTGAACTTGAACTTTCCTAAGTTAGAACCGAGTTGCTCGATTTAAATAATTACTCTACATATGAAATTTGATCTTGGTGATTTAGGTGAAAAAAGTAAAATTAAATGAAATGTCATTGTAATATGTGTTAAATGGTACACATCAATAATAAATCATGTGCGCTTAATGTAGCCATTAGTGGACTTTAAGGTGAGCTACCAAGCTATATATATATACTTATATAGTTACATTTGGTATTTTTGAACATTTTAGCCGGGGAGTATTTTGAACAAATTTTACTTCTTTCTTCTATAAATCATAAATTATTAAAGTATAAGTAGATTAAAAAACTATATTTAAAAAATAAAAAGATGCTTTTATATTCTTTTAGCTAATTCTTATAATTTTTTATATATTTTTATTTCAAAGGATACACATCACATGTAAGACTCGTTTATCCTATAATATAATATTTTTTCTAATTCATATCATATAATATAATCAACAGATAAATTTATTTAATTAACTAATGATAATTTGTTATTCACTAAGAGTGATTTTATTACTTAACTTTTATTTATGAAAATGGATATTTTTTTTTTCTTTCAATATGTTGATCGACGGATCTTATCAACGGTTAAATAACGGTTTTTTTAAGTAAAAAATACAGATTGATGATAAGATACGCGAAAAGCTGGTTTTATTACTTAATCATGAGGTCGAGCTCTAGTATTGAGGTCGGCACTTTAATTACACTTAAGAATATTCAAGGGAATTAATTACAGATTATTTGAGAGATAAAATAGTAGTTGGAAGATTCAACAACCCATAATAAATGAAATGGGTGCCATGTTTATAGTAATTTTAATTTGGCACTATTCGTAAACTATTAATCCAGTTTGTGGCACAGTATCTCTGACGGGCACATCGACGCTTCTTTGACATATATTAAATGCGATTTGAGATATTTTCATTTATTACATGTCATTCATTTAATGCATACATGGGGATATTAAATGGTGAAAGGCCGTTCTGCCGGGCTAGGTATCATAGGGTGATAGAGTAGAGTAGTTTGTCCAATCGACAATCATTAGCTGTAGGGAACTTTAACGGGATAATAAAAATAAGATGGCTATAATATATAATACCGAGGCCTGTGATAACACAGTGTCCTTAAAACAGATTCGCCCCGTATGAGCGTCTGTTTCCCAGGATACAACGGAAAAACCGAAACAAATTCGGCGAACTGGAATAATGCCTGGACCAAAATACTTAAAAAATGGGGAATTGTACTTTAACAATTGTATTCTTTTTTCTCGTGTGTGTTTTCTTCAAAAGATGGCAAGACTCTTTTATAGCTTAGATAAGCCATACTCATTAACTCACTTCATTTAAACTTAATAAATTTGAGTTAAGAGTTCTTGTAACATTAAAGCAAGTTACAAGTTTTAATTTGAAGACAATGTCCTAGGTAAGATTAACACGGTTTCAAACATCAATTGTTTATGTTACATAAATTTCATTCAATATTTTTCCAACAAGCCCCCACATGAATGAAATTAATACAAAAACATGTTATGGTCCGACAGTTGAAACCTGCATAGGATAGGTAGGTGTTATCCTTTGAACCTTCCCTTGTGAAAGCACATCAACTTTACTAGCTGACCAGTAGACGCGATGTCTTTGAACTGTTCTGCTATTTGTGTAAACGATAAATATACTTCACACAGGATTCTCCCTAACATATTCCAGTTCTCATTATTATGTCCATTAATGGCCCTGGACATAGCCTGGTTCTGTGAGAGGGTCTAAGAATTGAGCCTCACACAATTCTCTTCAAAGCGGCCCCACTTCTCTCTCACATAGGTGATTCATAATTACAAGTAGCCCGTACTACCTTCCCATACAAGAATCATTAAAAGCCAAATGCTTATCCTACTCACCACGGGTATCACTGTTTAAGGAATGGACATTGGATAAAATCCTACAGTGATCACAAAAGTCTTTTTACAATTAGGTTGTCCCTTTGAACCAAGATCTTGGGATCTCCAGTCAACAAGGTAGGGTTTCCATTGTATCAACTCATTTCTAGAGGCTTAAGTCCCATTCCTCTCAAAGATTTAGCAACTAACTCTCTATTTAACCCTTTGGTTAGCGGATCCGCAAGATTATCTTTTGACTTCACATAGTCAATAGATATAGTACCAGTTGAGAGTAGTTGTCTAATGGTATTATGTCTTCGACGAATATGTCTAGACTTACCATTATACATATTACTTTGTGCCCTGCCTATAGCCGATTGACTGTCACAATGTATACAAATAGCTGGCACTGGCTTTGACCATTTTGGAATATCTTCTAAGAAATGGCGAAGCCACTCTGCCTCTTCTCCACTTTTGTCCAATGCTATAAATTCGGATTCCATTGTGGATCTGGCAATAACAGTCTGCTTAGAAGATTTCTATGATATGGCTGCACCTCCCAAAGTGAATAAATATCCACTAGTGGATTTAGAATCTTTCATATCCGATATCCAGTTGGCATCACTATAGCCTTCAACTACAGTTGGATATTTACAGTAGTGCAGACCATATTTACAAGTATATCTCAAGTATCTGAGTAATCTCACAATTCCTTTCCAGTGTTCATTTCCTGGATTACTTGTATATCTACTCAGTTTACTCACGGCAAAGGCGATGTCTGGTCTAGTACAATTCATTAGATACATCAGACTCCCTATCACCCTTGAATATTCGACTTGAGAAACACTTTCTCCTTTATTTTTCGACAGATGTTGACTTGTATCTATCGGGGTCCTAGCCTGAGTTAAATCATCCTTATTAAATTTTTCAAGGATTTTCTCCCCATAATGTGTTTGACTCAAAACAATTCCTTGTGATGTTCTATGAATTTTAATTCCA